AAATGACTACGTCACTCTCCTAAGCGTCATTGTGGGAAAGGCTTGTGGCAATCTTTTTGCGCGAAATATTAAAATCCGGAATAAAACACGAAAGCTGATAGATGAATATCTAAGAAACTCAATATTAAAATTGGGAGTAACAACGGCGAAAACTGGTCCATGAATATCTAAAAAAACTATTACCTTTTCGCAAATTTCGTAAATTGGTCAGGCCTCTGATAGCAGTTGGCGTCAATACTGCAATTGCATTATGGGCCATGAAACCATTAATTTAAAATATAATCAACAATTTGTTTCATAAACCGACTTACCATGACTATTACTAGCTCTATTGTCCGCTGAGTCTGACACTCAGATGACGAAGACTGGGTCCGGACATTTCGTCGAACGCCGTTTCATCTAAGCCGTTTCATCGAACACCGTTTCATCGAACGCCGTTTCATCGAACGCCTTTTCATCGAACGCCGTTACAGCCTGTAATTTATTTTAATTTTGTAGCGTGAGGTACACTAGCCGAGGTTGAGCAGTTTAACGTGGCTCGCATAATGAGCCGTGCTCCGCGCTGCGCATGCGCGAGGAGCAGTGACGTCACACGGCGCACAGCTGGCGCGCCGGAGCCACCGCCGCCGCGCGCTCCGCCGCCACCGCGCGCGCCTCGCCGGTCTGCGCATTCCAGAGGAGTGACGTCATAGCCGCGGCAGACGCACTGGCGCCGCCGCGTGCCCAGCTGTGCGCCTCCGTTGCGCAGTAGCCAAGTCTGACGCTGCACCTGAGCCGCTTGATAGCGCCTCTCATTTTGTGCGCAAAAGGTCACGCTACGTTTATCCTGTCATAGCCGAGCTAAGCCACCGCAGTTTTTTATACACAACGTCATCTAATTCCCCCTTTTTCGTATCACAGGGTACAGTGAAGAGATAAGTTCCATCGTGAACATATCCTGCTTCGAGAAGAAAGCCTTCATGAAACAATGATCCCTCTTTATGCCACATGAAACAATTAAGAATGAGACAAAAAAAACTGAAAGCACGATGTGCTTTCTGGGAAGCGAGTAGTGTTTTATTGTTCGACAGCGTGTGCGTGTAATCTTGCGTTATGTGAGGATCCGGAAGGGTTCACTCTTCTTGGGTGACAGAGTACACGCAGGACTTTACTATTGTCTGGTGCGGGTTGGCCTTCCTAAGAAAGCGTCCTGAAGATCATTCGTAGGCAAAAGGGTCGGTGATAAAGATGACAGTGAAGGGGTGGTTGTTCCAGGTCCGGGTGTAGCACGAAACAATCTTGGCAGACCCTTTCTGCAGCTTTTCTCTCTATAGAATTAAAAAAAAAAGAAAAGTATCTGAGCATAAAGTTAATGAACAGAGTATCGTTATATTATAAGTGTGCTGACCTGGCAGTTAAATGCCCTTCGTGAATAAACCTTGAACTAACTGTACGTGTGCAAACGAGCTGGTGTGAATTGCACATTACTGAAACCCCGAGACATCAGGTAAAAAACGACACAGACACTTAAAAGTGTTGTAAGTGTCAGACAATAAACCTATACCCATTTGTTTTTATATATTTTTATACCTATTGTTTTTATTTCTAGTAATTTGACACCACCTTCAAAACATTTTCACAAGTGACTACCTTAGTCTTAACGAATGCAAGGTAAAACATCTATAAAGCACGGTTATGCTCCAAAACTCGATACAAAAAAATTCAATGAAACGGCTCTTAGCGATTCGATGAAACGGCGTTCGATGAAATGTCCATTCATTCCATGAAACGGCATTCGATGAAATGTCCGCTACCCGCATTCCACTCTTTGCGGCAGACGCCTCACATCCCTGAGGTCCCGTACATGTGCAGTATTTTAGACTCCGGAATACACTGGAGGCAAGCAGAACATGTCTAGAATTATGAACTCACTAGTATTTTTAGTGGAAGTATGTTAGATAAGAGGTGAGAGTTACACGGGTGCTGTCTTCACCGGGTAGCGGAGACAGCACCCGTGTAAACTCACCTCTTATCAAACATACTTCCACTAAAAATACTAGTGAGTTCATAATTCTAGACATGTTCTGCTTGCCTCCAGTGTATTCCGGAGTCTAAAGTACTGCACATGTACAGGACCTCAGGGATGTGAGGCGTCTGCCGCAAAGAGTGGAATGCTTTTTTCCATCATTACGCCCTTTTGGTAGCGCTACATGTTCTATCAAAATACATCTAAGTTCATTTGAGACGCGACATCACCGTTGCCATTTTGCATCGGTGAAGAGCTGTACGGTCTGAATTGTTTTTATATCTGGACGTATAAAACAGACGAAGCCGACGCGCAGTATGCATTCCCAAACTCGGGAAGCAGACGATGCAGGCCTCCGTTAGTCTGCAGTTACCTGGGAACGAGTAGAGTAAAATTAAGACGCCAGTATCATTAAGTAACGTAAAAACGATACGGATGAATGGAAGTCAGAATAACGTCCCATTCAACTGAATGTGTTTTCATAAGAGCGTTAAAGACCTTGCGGCGGCGTCTCACACCGTTGACGCCTCGCTGGCGAACGCCGGCATGTGTCGCCTGCGAGGCGGGCGCCTGGAGGCATGGTCGGAAAGACTCCTTTTTAAAAATATAATATCTCAGCAACAACAACACGTACCTTTCTAATTTCTTGATATGTTGAAGAAATTAGGAGGATTGAACTTCTGGCTATTTCGAACGCTCCGGGCTCCACTACCCACACTGCTTTTTCTGGCTCTCAATATGGCCGTTTCTGCAAACTGGAGATTTAGCCATTTAATTAAAACGCAACCAAACGAGGCTTTGAAAATTTAACAGATGCAATTCAATTATTATTTCTATGTGTAGAAAGGAAAAAAAATTCTTGCAGCTAACACCCAACTCTAAGTCGACAAAAAAAATCGCATAAAGTCTCTTCTTTTTTGAGCTTCTATTTCTACTGAATGGCGCCTTTCAATGTCGGTATTTTAATGTAAGATTGGGCATGTTATAAAGTAATTAGTGGCCCACCTAAATTTGTGTTTTACGTGACCGTTTTTCTACAATGTTTTTTCTTAACCACGTAGTTTTTATGCAAATTTCGGAACTATATAGCACCGACATCAGCAAAAATAAAATTTATTAAAAATACATTCATTTTTTAGTTTAGGGGTTCTTTTGTTGAAATTATTTTTTTTTACATATCCCAGACATGAAGAAATTGCCGTGTCTCCTTTGGCATGAAATGACCCACACGAGAACGGCAGCAACGACACTTTTGGGGCCCTAATCTACACGGCGGGACAAAGTGGGACGAAGAGGCCGAGAAATCGCCGCCCGCCTGCTGCGAATGGTCAGCGCCACGCCGCTGACCAATGGCAGAAGGCAGCGACATCCCGGTCCCTCTGCCCACTTCGTCTCACTTCTCGCTGCGTAGATTGGGGCCCTTGGTCTGATATGTTGACGAAGAAATCTGAAAGCGTCAATATCCAAAATATCTTGGCGACCGCGAGGGAAAATATACAATGTGGGTGACGTCAGTAAATGGCAGAGCAGGGAAGTGAAATAGGGCACCAATAACCAATGTTCTGGAGCACGTGAATCTTGAAGGAGGGCTCCATTACCAAGTCCAGATGAGGCGGCCGACGCCACCCAGCGGCAAAGACGTCACTTTAGGAGCAGGGAGCTCACGCTTGTCGATATGTGTGGTGAAAACTTCCGTGGCCTGGCGGCGCAAATGTGAAACAGAGGAACGGGGATCAAACGCACATCGTTGCAGTCACGAATATTCGCGAACTCCAGCCGAATGGATGGCACCTAGAGGGAAAACACTGCACTGACCGGAACAGGTCCTCTCACGTGGCTTCCATGATTGCATGTTGCCGGCGGTTGACGCGATGGCCACCGAAGTAAAGCGAGGGTATAGTTGCGTTGGCTGTGTCTAGTTGCGTCCACAGCAACAAGAACGGCAGCAACGACAGGGCCACAGGAAAACTCATGACTCATAATGGCCTAACGAATCAAGCACGACATCAATCGCTTCCCACGTCGTGTAGGGTGAACAGTTGTTCCGGTGACGCCGTCGTTACTGTCGTCAGTGTATTGCTTAAGGTCGCTCGGAAGGCAACCTACAGAACCGCGGGAACCAGGCATTGTGCGTAACGCTCATCAGCGCTGTAGAAGAACAGTAGGTCATTTCATCGCTTCCCCAAAGAAGGCTAAACCTCTAGAAGCTCGCTTGTGCCAACACAGCACCGCAGGTTTGGAACGATGTCGATAAAAATCAAAGCACACCATTTTAAGGCCAATGCTCGGCTGCTGAAACCTGAGCGTCGAGCTTGCACATTTGGCACGGCACGACCTGTTTTCGACCACCATATTTGCCCGAGAGTGGTGACCCCTATAGGTCGCTGGAGTCACGAGTACTTGGTTGAACGAGGTTCGCGCAGGACAGGTAGATTCTTAGTACTAGGTTGCCACTGCTCTTTTTCAAATTTCGTCAACTTTGGCGTGACTACCGCAATGTTAACAACGTTGCGGCGAAAAGAGAACGTTCGGTTTTTCCGTTTCTGAAGACAGCGATGTGAAAGATTGCAGTCTCTGCTCATCTTGTAATGCCTAACTGTTTCCTCTACTGGCGTCAGACAACCAAACTTTGCAGATCCTACCATGTCTAGCACTTCCCCATTGAGGGATGCTGAGGTAAGGGCCATCCAAACAAAAAGAGAACACCAAGAAGAGGGAAAAAAAAAAGAAGGGGGGGGGGGGGGAGCCTCTCCAGATGACTTGCGCGAATGTTACTCATCACAAAATATAACGGACGTTTTTTTTTAATTAATGATGTGCCATTGACATCGGTAATATTCCACTATTCATCCAATGATTAGCGGAAACAGTGCAATGGGTCTGCGGTGTTTCTTCGATATGAGTTTCCTAGATTAGTAATTTCACTGAAGGTTGAGGGGAAAAAGGCCTGTTTCAGTATTGCTGTTTTTCACAAAACGATCTTCTCTGTTTTCAGGTGGTCACACAGCGATGGAAGTTCCGGTGCTGTCTAAAGAAGGCCACAAAGGTGAGCACAAAGACTCCAAAAGAGAACGCGATTTTTACATGGGTTGCCAACACTCATGTCCTCCAACATGAAAAAAGATTCTACAGTAGTCACCGACGACTTAATAAACGCAAGGCGTGGCTTATTGTCTTCAAGCTTCTCACTTCGCGACTGTTTCTTCGGTTCTCTTATGGGCTAATGCCGCAGTCCCATTGGCGACGAAACGATAATGAAATTCTCTGGATTCGGCATGCGCTCTGCGTTTCTCAAGTTGTTAATAGATAGAGACGAGAAACATGTTAAAAAAAAATAAAAAGAGGCCCGCGCAACGCCGAGACGTGCCAAGAAGTACTACGGTGACCATTTTGCAGAGTGCACGCTCGCAACGTTTAGAAAGAGATAGAAGAAAAAAAAAGTAGCCTCTCTTCCCCATAAATAGGTAATGAAGTCGCCTAATGCTCGAGGATCGAGGTTGCAATAAACCCCGAGCAAGGCGTTCGACGCAGCGGCCCGACTGCCCCGAATCCGATTAAGTGTTCCCGACGCTCACGTAACGATCATCAGTGGAAACGTCAGAAAGGGGTCGGGAGCGACGCAGTACTACTCCGCGCGAACGTCGCCGTCCGACAGCCCGGTCAAATATTAACCGAGGAGCGCAGCGTGGGACAGAGAGCGCCTAGATTTCGGGGAAGGAGCAACTCGAACCACGGAGAGCGCTTGCGGTTTAATGGCGGAGGCCTCTTGCGCAGATTAATCGCACTGAGTGCGCATGCGTGGAGTTGTAGCGCTACGAGGAGGAGAGAGACCGGAGAGGCGGAGACGCTTGCGGACGATCAACGTTTTCGTCACCTTTATAAAACGGCGGCCATACTGTCTGGGGCCTTCCAATTGTTTGTCTTTTTAGACTTAGGCTCGGTGCCGCAAGCTACCGCCCGTTACAAAGGGCATAGCCATTAAGATTCGTTCATCCATGTACGACGGTCACCTTGGTCATACAAAAACTGTATGCAGACATTTTTGAAGCGTGTATGAAGCAAACATGCTTCTAAGATGTGGGAGGCGCGTCCGCGCGCACAATGCTGTCATCGTATCTGCAGTGAACACCGTGTCTTTTGCATGATCGTGAGCAGTGGAACTGGAGACGCAATAAAAAATCGGTGAGCGAGCTATTTGTTGGAGATTATTTTAGTACTCCACTAAGGCGACGAATTACCTACACACATATGTTACAAAAAAAAAAGAAAAACGCAGCGTTAGTACTTTGTTAAACATCTACAACTTCGCCATGACCACGGTCGTCCGAGGATTCACCCCTGCAGCACCAAGCGGGAGAGGAGGCCTTGCGACATATGCAGCGTCTATTAGAGGTTCCGTTTCTGAACTTGCTACTCGTTCAAAAACCTACACGAACGACACCATTCTCAGATTGGAAAGGTCGCAGATATATTCTGCCAAACAATCGGCTACCCACCAGATGTACCGGCCACGCCTCCCTCTTATCAAGACGCATGTCACCTTCAAGTCTCACCTAACATAGCTGACGTCAAAAAAAGAAAGGTAGTTGAAGTATTGCTACGAAGCACAGCACTTAAAACGATCGAGAATGCTTACGCCGACACGACACATAACTATACGGACGGAAGCATTAAAGACAACTCGTGCACTCCAGCCTATGAATGCCAGACGTTGGACCCCACAGAAAAGGACGGATAGACATCTGCCTCGACTCTACCACTGCAGAGCTCACTGCCATTTGGCTACCCATTGATCGCACATTGCAACACGGGCATTCGCCCAAAATTGCCATCTTTGCGGACTCTCGGGGTGCATTACAACAGCTCATCCATTTGTAGAAAGCCGGTCCACTAGCAAAGTAAATTGCAAAGCTGACAAGACGTGCCGCAGATGAATGAACGACCATACAATTTTAATGTATTCCATCGCAAGTATCTAAAAATAAAAAAAGCAGATTCGCTGACAGCTAGGGTATCCCACTTGGATCCCCACCATTTGTGTTCATCCGCAGCAAAATCTCTAATTTCATTGGCGATAAGAATCATACACCCATTTTTTTAATCACACACAGCACCAATCCTCTTCCATAATTCCACCAAATGAATTCTTCAGAAAGCAAAAAGCCCTTCTACACCGGTTACGAGCCGACTGGGTGTCCACTAACAAGCGACTCCATCTTCTCGAAAAACTTAAATCACTACGACTCAATTCATATGCGACACGATCGAAGAGAGGGGCAACACATTATCTGGGACTGCCACGCGCTAGAAACGGAACGAACACAATGTGTTGGTGGATTCACAAACACATTGAAGGTACGCTGCACATATCCCCAGGAGGCTCCAAAGCTCTACTCTTCCCGACGGGCATCCCGACGAAGAGGACTAACATATACATAAGGCCCCAATTGACTTTCCAGAGGCAACAAATCATGCATCCAGGCTCTGACTTTGCTCGGTCTATCCGTGTACCTGAAATTGTCGATAGCTCACGCCCTGCACTATACTCTCTGATGGGCAAGAGCGGTGGTGGTGGTGTTCTGCTGTCGGCCGGGCCGGGCCCCGTGCGCTCGGGCCTCGGTGGAGCCTAGACTAGGCGAAGTCGGGATCCTTCTGAAGAACGCGCGCTCGGCCTGGGAATTGGACCGGCGGGAGGGGGGATACGACCTACCGTCCCCAGAATATCGGTAACTCATGTGTACAAACTATAATACTACATCACCTTCCAATTCCTACACCCACCTCTCTTTATCTCCCCATCCCTGCATGCCAGACGACGCCTCCTCCGTGGGGGTGACTATGCATCTTGCCCCTTCTTCCGTATATTTTATTTAATTTTAATTTATAATAAATAAAACATATATAGACACACCGTGTGTTGTAGCGTTCCGGTGTCCTTAATCAGCCGTGACGTCATTCAGTACCACCTGGAAGACAAGGCCCACGCATGACGTCATCGTTAGTGGATCCCCGACCCACATCCGAAACTGAGCGACCGAAAGTTTCTTAGAAGGCGACCACGTGACTCCGATCGCGCAGTTGGAGACACTCCGTCCTCTAGGCACATCAGCGTGAGACGGCGGCGGCGGCGCTGACTATTTGAGCCGGCGTTCCTGCGGGAGGGAGTCCGGGCGTCCTCGTCGATCCTGGAGCGCTCTCGGAGTGCCCGGAGGAAGGACGGACAATCGATGCTGCCGCTCCGACGGGCGTCTCGCTCATGAATAACTCGAAGCCAGTCCGTGATTAAGCGCCCTGGGGGCTTCGCTTCTCGCTCCTCGCGGCACCGCCCGGAGCGTACGAAGCGCCCGCCTGGAAGAGTTCTCGAGACACTGCCGAGTTCCCACACACCTCCGTAAGTCGGTCAACAATAGCGATGTCTTTTGTCCCTTAAAAAAGCGCGATGCGACGTTTTTTTTTTTTTTTTAACTTTTAGCAAATACCTTTTAAAATTATTTCTTGGCATTCTTAACCTGTAAAAAGACGTGGTAGTTTTTTTTTTTTCTATTTTTTTACAGAGTGTCAATCACAAAAAAGAATTCGAGAAAAACGAGCAGCGTTCACTCTTTCAACTTGCAGCTGGAACAAGCGGCCACGTGGCCTGTAGCCGATTATGTGCAATACCTCCACTCACACCAACTGCCCCCCGATATACACCCAAACTCCTGGGAGAGCTGGATCACTCCACCTAAAGATCACCAACACCTCCTACTACCACTTCTGATCCAGCACGTTCACAACGTAATTGGGGAAGAGTGGTAAAGCTATATTGGGAGCGCCGGACTAGGCGTGTTAAAATAAATATTTTTTTCTCTCTCTCTCTCCTAAAAGACAAGACCCCTCCCCCCACACAAACATACATTGATCAAATTGTTGACAAAGCCAAAAAAAAAAATGAAGAACGATTCCCACAACTTTGTCATCAAGTTTTGCGAATGAGAGACAGTATACGTGGGCGCCATTAGTGCCTGTAAGTTTGTGTAAAGTGAGAAACATTTCTACTCAATATCGTTCCGCGGCCTCTTTAAATGCATCTCTGAGCAAAGCTTCCGCACTTGTTGTGTTCGTCTGCGTGCTGACGCAGGCGGCACGCGTCTGTTATATACGTATTTCGATTCTGCATGCAGGGGGTAATGCGCCCGACAAATGTGGTATGATATACCGAGATCGATCGATAAAATGAAACCCCGTTTTTCGGCCCGCATAAATAAACTGCGCACCGCAGAAAGATTGAACTCCGTGATAACGCGACGCTAGCGGTGGTGATAAAATGCGAAAGTTTGAGCACATGACGTTGCCCGAATCAAATGGAAGAAAAGAAAGACGCAATTTCTCTATGAACCGACGTCCGCCAAAGCCTCCTAAGCCTAATATTTATCAAACCGAAATTTGAGATTGGGGGCGTCCGCAACATTTATTTCAGCGAAAAAAAAATTGCAGATAGGAAGATTATATTGTTTTATTTCTTGCTGACAAGTTTTTTCTTTCTCTTTTTGTTCTCCATTTCTCCCTTTCAAACCGAAATATCCGTAAGGTGTCTTCTCCGCAAGGTGAGCTTCGTTTAAAGAAGCCAGCTTTACGGAAGCTTATAAGGAATGGTCCAAAATTGCAGCCACTGCGGTTTCGATACCAGAAGAGTTGCACGAGGACTGTACGACACCTGGGGTCCATTTTGAGTAGCGTCCTTTGGTTTAGAGATATATTTTAATGAACCCAATACTTCTGCCCATCAAGCGTCGCAATTACTGACCAAAAGGCCGAGGCTTTCGCGTACTGGCTTTTTTTTTTTTTTTTTTTTAAGACACTTGCCCTCTTTCAACATTTTCCATCAATATAGCTAAGCCAGATGTTAATTTTATTTTATCACATCAAAGCGTCCGAAGGCGTTACATGAGGGGGGAACGAAGAAATAATAAATATACTTTGAGTACAAAACACATCAAATTCGAATAAGTTTGACAAAGTCTTATATAAACAACAAACAAAAAGAAAGAAAGCAATGGCTACGTA